ATGTTTGGTATGAGTGGAGTGGCAATAAACTCGCAAGGGAGTTTAGGTGTTTAGCGTTGTTGTGGTAGAATAAGTTGAGTGTAGTGCTACAGATTTTCTCCCGTGGTCACATTGATGTTGTGGTTAATGTAGGGGGTGATGGCGGATCTTGGAGGTTAACTGGAATTTACGGGGAACCAGAGATTGCGAAGTGTAGTCAAACTAGGGCTTTGTTAACCCATCCGATAAGCATAAATAATATGCCTTGGGTCTATGCAGGGGATTTCAACAAAATTCTCTCACAAGCTGAGAAAAAGGGGAGAGGAAGAAGGGCGGAATGGCAAATGAGAGATTTTCGTCAAGTTTTGGGCAACTGTGCACTGTTGGATTTGGGGTATATGAGATTTCCTTTTACTTGGTGCAACAATTGGAAGGAACCAAATATGGTTTGGGAAAGATTAGACAGAGTGTGTGCAAATCTAGCATGGATGACGAAATTTCCTAACTCTAGAGCTTGTCACAAATTCTCAAAAGAGTCAAACCACTACAAAGTTTTATTGGATAGTAACATGGGGTTGACAAATCAAGTGTGGCGTCCAAAGAAAAGATTGTTCCGGTTTGAAACGACATGGGTGAAGAGAGAGGGTAGTGAGGAGATTATTCAGGAGGCCTGGAATTCTAGTGCACTTATTCCAGGGGCTCATGTGTTCACAAAGAAAATTCAAAGTTGCAGAGTGGAGTTACTTAAGTGGAAACAGGAGCATGTTGGTCAGATTCTAATTAGGATAGAAGTTTTGAAAGGCAAGCTGGAAGTATTAAGGAGAGTGGAATAACAGAGAGCTCGAGACAACAAGCTCAAGTTATAGAGATGGAATTGAATGATTTGCTTGATATGGAGGAGACTTATTGGCGTCAAAGATAGAAAGTTAATTGGATGAAGGAAAGGGATAGGAATACAGCTTTTTTCTATGTCTGGGCATCTCAACGACGAAGAAGAAACACAATTGTAAAGCTCAAGAATAGAGATGGGGGTTGGTGTGAAAACTCAGATGAAATGAAACAAGTAGCCATTGTGTATTTTTAGAATCTGTTTACATCTAGTAGACTACAAAACCAAGAATTAGAGGAAGTGTTAAGCAAGGTGGACCACAAGGTGTCGGAAGGAATGAATTCAAGGCTTTGCAGACTTTCTGAGTTGATGAGGTAACAACTACAATTTCCCAAATGTTTCCTACTAAATCCCCCAACCCCGATGGAATGCCTCCTATTTTTTTCCAGAAGTACTAGCATATTGTCGAGCCGAATGTCGTAGACTGTCTTGAGTTTTCTACATGGTGATCAATTTCCAGTTAGGTTCAATTACACTCACATTGCTCTCTTTCCTAAATGTGAGAATGCAGAGTCTATGCATGAGTTTTGACCCATTAGTTTATGTAATGTTATTTATAAAATTATTTCAAAAATTTTAGTTTATCGCCTAAAGTATGTCCTCCCCTCAATTATATCTAATTCTCAAAGTGCATTTCTTCCTGGGCCGTTAATCACCGACAATGTGTTGGTTGCTTTTGAAATTAATCACTTTTTAAAGTGTAAGAATTGGGGTAAAATGAGACATGTTTCACTAAAATTGGATATGAGCAAAGCTTATGATAGGGTAGAGTGGGTGTTCTTGGAAAAAATGATGATTAAGTTGGGTTTTGATCGTAAATGGGTTACTCTGGTGATGCTTTGTGTTACAACTGTCTCGTATTCCATCTTGCTGAATAATAATCAAATGGGTTTTTTTCATCCTAAAAGGGGTCTTCGTCAAGAAGATTCTCTTTCACCTTATTTGTTTCTGATCTGTGCAGAAGGGTTAACAACACTGTTATGCAATGCAAAGTTGCATGGTGCGATTAAGGGAGTTTCGTTGGGAAAGGGTGGCCCACGTATTTCTCACCTTTTGTTTGCTGACGACAATTTATTATTCTTTAATGCATCTAAAGAAGAGGCTGAAGTTGTCAAGTCAATACTAGGGATTTATGAAGCTGCTTCGGGGCAAAAAATTAATTTGGAAAAGTTTGTAGTGGTCTTTAGCAGTAATTCTTCGGAGGTACAGGCCAGTCTAATTAAATATATTTTGTTTGTGAACGGGTTTACCAGCATGATAAATACCTAGGTCTTCCAACTGTGGTGGGTAAATCTAAAAGAGAAGTTTTTAGCAATTTAAAGGAAAGTGATTGGAATAAAATGCAAGGGTGGAGTGAACAACTCTTATCGAGAGCAGGGAAGGAGATCTTGATTAAAGCGGCGGTGCAATCCATTCCTACATACGCTATGAGATGTTTTAAACTTTCGGATAATTTTTGTGACGAGCTTGAGAGACTAGCGGCTAGATTTTGGTGGGGTCAAAGACAAGCGGAGAAGAAAATACATTGAGTTAGCTGGAGAAGGGTGTGTACAAGGAAAGAGAGGGGTGGTATGGGTTTTAGAGATTTGAAGGCCTTCAATTTGGCGATGCTTGCGAAATAGATATGGAGATTAAATACATAGGTTAACTCTCTTCTTCACCAAGTGCTTATGGCAAGGTATTTCTCTTTGACATCTTTCATGGAGGCTAAGATTTGGCATAGACCCTCATACACATGGAGAAGTATTTTATGAGCACGAAAAGTTGTGGAAGCGGGATCAAGATGGCGAATAGATGACGGGTCTAGAGTCAATATTTGGATGGATAGGTGGATACCTACCCTTGTAGGTTTCAAGCCTGTTTCTCCTAGAAGGGGGCTTTTTACTTCGGTTGGGGATCTTATTAATGAGCAATCGTGGAGCTAGAATGAGCAGTTGGTGGATGATATTTTTTTGCCCTATGAGGCGTTGGTGATTAAAGGTATTCCACTGAGCAGAAATTTATTGGATGATAGATTGATTTGACACTATAATTCAAATTGGAAGTTCTCAATACATAGTGCATATCACATCATTATTGACCAAAGACTATTGCAAGTAGGCTCAAGAAACTCATCTCCTTCTTCAAGTGCCGGACACCTAAATTGGAATTTNTGATGATTATTTTGCAGTGTGACATTAGATTCACACTTTTGATGCCCATGCCATGAAAACAACAATGGATATGATGTGTAGTTGCATTGTGACATTGAATTCACATTGTGATACCCACCATGTGTTTTTGAATCTTAATGTGTATATTAAATGTTATATTACAATCACAGTGTGATACAATCCATGTGCAAACTCTATATATAGTGTCTATATATACAATGTGACATTGATGCCACATTGTGATATTCACAGTGCGTCAATCCTTAGGTCACACTATGATACTCTTTATGGACCAAAACCTGCATATGTTATGTGTATACAGTGGACATTGATATCACATTATAATACCGACAGTAGCTCAGCCCTACATATGTATTTTACAAGCAATGTGACATTGACGTCACAGTGACCAAACAATGCATATGATGATTGTATGCAGTGTGACATCGGTGTCACAGTGACCAAACCCTTATTTTCAATAAATTTCAACGATGTCGAGGGTGTGTTTTCTTTATAGTGAAATCTTCAATAATAATAGATTTCTTTAACACCCGAAAATAGTGTTTTTGGTAGATATTTGTGTACCGTTTGAATTTCAATTTTTTATAACAACACTTTTAACATTCTTATTAGATATAAACGTCTAATAATAGCTCACCAAATAGTGTACCGTTACACCGAATACCATAGAAGTTTAGCTCCACTTGTTAGTTTTTAAAACGACGTAATTTCAATTACCAAATGATGTGAAACAGATTTGTGTGGATCTTTCTTTGTTGATTTGTGGGACGTGATTGTCAGATTTATCAGTTTGTTAGTATGAGTCTTTTTGGGGATTCGCCCACAGAGATCTAGAAGGCCAAGGCCAACTCCATGCATGTTCAAAGATAGCGAGTTCATTTTTAGTTCAAGGGCACTCCGGCCCAAAACTTTGACTATATAATTTCCAACATGGCATGCAAGTTGGCCTTGGTAGGGGAAGTTTTGAAGCAGAAGTGTTGACTCCTCCAAACTATACCATCACAAGCAAATGATGCACTAATGGGATGCTTAACGGAGTAATAGATAGCCCATGTGATAGATATTTCAGGATCAGGGACAAGCAAAAATGTTGACTTCTCTTTCCAGTTGAACAAATTCTGGATGGCTTGATAGGATTTTAATAATTGGAGTTTGGTTTGAGGCTTTTCAATTCTAGTTGAAGCACGTGTTTTATCTTCTATTTTGTTTTCAACTATTAATTCTCATAACAAAAGCAATACCCAACACATACCCAGATGGTGATGTGGTTTTGGTGCGGGTGTTGGGTTGTGCAACGTGGGGGGGTGTAACTGTGAGAAATTGCTTAGAGCTTTGATTGTATGGAGATGGTTGTGGGTGTTTTTTTCACTTGTGCTCAATCTTGTTTTCTCTTGGGCGTGATCTACCGGCACATATGTCAGTATGTGTATCATCTGGGAGTGGTAGAGGTGGAGGAGGTCTAGACTCTAGAAGTTTGGTAAGAGAGACAGAGTTTGTTTCTCTTATAACATCTTTGATCCTTAACTTTTTATAAACTTAAATTTAAATTTGGATAAAAATTTGTTAAAAATTTTATTCAATTCTATATATAAACTCATGTCAAATCAAGGAAGGCTAATTTTTAGAGTCTTTCTCTTTAGGGGGTAGAGTTTTTCTCTCTGTCTTACAGAGTTGGTGTCTTCCTTAGGTCTAACTAATGGAAGTTTTTGCTCCTAGGTTTCTTTTATGGTCATTGATTAGGGTCGTTTGATAGAGTATCCCAAACCTTCTTGCCCATTTGGTTATTACTGGTCGTTTCTTATAGAGACTTCACAATGGTTCATCTTTTCTTTTGTTTGCTTTGTCTATTTTATGCATACAGGTTTTGAATCATTCCATTCGACTCAGTGTGGTTGGCTTGCTAAAACGTTTTTTCCTCTGGAGTGAGTGGTCTGCTAGAATATATAAAGGATGAGGCGATGCAACAATTGTGGAGCAATTTTACTCTTGGTGAGGAGGAGAGTCTTGGAGTTCATCTTCTAGATCAGGGAGAGGGCGAACTTGGGGAGAAAGACAATTTGTGTATATTTTGTAAAGTTTTGTCGGTTAAGCTTTACAACAAGATGACTTTCAAATCTATGATGAAAAAGTTTGGAATAATATCAAAGTGGAATTTATAGAGGCTAGTGATAACTTGTTTCTCATCCAGTTCAATAACATGTTGGACAAGATTAGAGTTCTTGAAGGTATGCCATGGTCTTTTGATAATCATTTAGTTTTGTTGAAAGATTTTGATGGCTCAGTTCAGGCGTCCAAAGTATCGTTTAGGGGATGTCTTTTCTGGTTTCATATTTATAATTTACCTTTCAATAGAATGAATCAAGAAACTGTAAAAATTATAGGTAATATGATAGGAAGTTATGTCAAAACGGATTTGACAAATGGAGTAGGATGGGGAAGATGTTTGAGAGTTCGGGTGATTATTAACATTGATAAAACCTCTTCTTAGAGGTATGAATATTAAAGGGATGGGGGATCAAGTTTTATTGTGTTTTTCAAGTATGCGAGGCTGCCTCATTTTTGTTACTATTGCGGACGGTTTGGCCATAGGGAAAGAGAATGTTCGTCAAGATTGGAGTCTTCAATCCTAGTAACGGAAGGACCAATGCAGTTCAGGCTTGGCTGAGGGCTCCAGTGGGTAGAGGTTCGAAGAACATAACAGGTCAAAAGGCCGGGCTGGAAAAACCACAGGGGGAGAAGACCGACGGTGTTTCTCCAGAGTGTGGACCAGAATCTTTAGAGCAATCTTACTAAAGTACAAATGAGGTGAATGAGATGAGTGTCATGGGAGGGAAGGGACCAATATTCAGAAATAAAGGAATTTTTAACACAAAGAGTATAGGTGGAAGACAGAACATGGAAAGAGAAATATTAGAGGAACCAAGTGAGGCATCAATTAACGTACCAACTCTTTTATTAAAAGAAAAGGAAATATTGGAGAAGGGAAGTTTTCATGAAATTGATTTCATAATCCCGGTGATTAATGGCAGTGCAATAGAGAGGGATATTCCTTTGGAGAAGGGTAATAGTCTGAAAGGAAATTGAGTTGTTGTTAAGGGCCCAAGTTTAGTGGATAGAGTGGGGGGGCTTAGAGGTGTGCAGTAACCAATAGGATTCAGAAAGTGACAGAATGAAGCAACGAGCTATTGAAGATTTTATGGACTCACCCATTTCTTATCTAGCCCAGCCCAAACATCTACCTAAATTGGAAGAATCAAAATCAATTGATGAAATTACCTACAATAAAGACCCAATAGGTACGAAGAAATGGAAAAGAAAGGAGAAGGGATCTTCACATCCAGTTCGAACAAATTCCCAAATGGTTATAAACGGTAAACGACGACAATGTGAAGGCAACAACGTTCAGACTTCATGTTTGGGAGGGAATGCAAAGAAAATAGTTAGGGTAAGTTCTGAATCAAGGGTTTTAGTTATGGAAGATTTGGAAGAGGTAACGGTGGGTTTTGGTCTCTAGACCCATCGATCATCATGAAACTTCTTAGTTGGAACTGTCAGGGTCTAGGGCATCCTTGGACAGTTCAGGACTTGTGCGATTTCGTAAAGAAAGAGCGGCCTAATTTTATCTTCTTGTCGGAGACAAAGTGTAATTCTAGGAAAATAGAGATTTTGAAAATGATGTTTGGTATGAGTGGAGTGGCAATAAACTCGCAAGGGAGTTTAGGTGTTTAGCGTTGTTGTGGTAGAATAAGTTGAGTGTAGTGCTACAGATTTTCTCCCGTGGTCACATTGATGTTGTGGTTAATGTAGGGGGTGATGGCGGATCTTGGAGGTTAACAGGAATTTACGGGGAACCAGAGATTGCGAAGTGTAGTCAAACTAGGGCTTTGTTAACCCATCCGATAAGCATAAATAATATGCCTTGGGTCTATGCAGGGGATTTCAACAAAATTCTCTCACAAGCAGAGAAAAAGGGGAGAGGAAGAAGGGCGGAATGGTAAATGAGAGATTTTCGTCAAGTTTTGGGCAACTGTGCACTGTTGGATTTGGGGTATATGAGATTTCCTTTTACTTGGTGCAACAATTGGAAGGAACCAAATATGGTTTGGGAAAGATTAGACAGAGTGTGTGCAAATCTAGCATGGATGACGAAATTTCCTAACTCTAGAGCTTGTCACAAATTCTCAAAAGAGTCAAACCACTACAAAGTTTTATTGGATAGTAACATGGGGTTGACAAATCAAGTGTGGCGTCCAAAGAAAAGATTGTTCCGGTTTGAAACGACATGGGTGAAGAGAGAGGGTAGTGAGGAGATTATTCAGGAGGCCTGGAATTCTAGTGCACTTATTCCAGGGGCTCATGTGTTCACAAAGAAAATTCAAAGTTGCAGAGTGGAGTTACTTAAGTGGAAACAGGAGCATGTTGGTCAGATTCTAATTAGGATAGAAGTTTTGAAAGGCAAGCTGGAAGTATTAAGGAGAGTGGAATAACAGAGAGCTCGAGACAACAAGCTCAAGTTATAGAGATGGAATTGAATGATTTGCTTGATATGGAGGAGACTTATTGGCGTCAAAGATAGAAAGTTAATTGGATGAAGGAAAGGGATAGGAATACAGCTTTTTTCTATGTCTGGGCATCTCAACGACGAAGAAGAAACACAATTGTAAAGCTCAAGAATAGAGATGGGGGCTTGTGTGAAAACTCAGATGAAATGAAACAAGTAGCCATTGTGTATTTTTAGAATCTGTTTACATCTAGTAGACTACAAAACCAAGAATTAGAGGAAGTGTTAAGCAAGGTGGACCACAAGGTGTCGGAAGGAATGAATTCAAGGCTTTGCAGACTTTCTGAGTTGATGAGGTAACAACTACAATTTCCCAAATGTTTCCTACTAAATCCCCCAACCCCGATGGAATGCCTCCTATTTTTTTCCAGAAGTACTAGCATATTGTCGAGCCGAATGTCGTAGACTGTCTTGAGTTTTCTACATGGTGATCAATTTCCAGTTAGGTTCAATTACACTCACATTGCTCTCTTTCCTAAATGTGAGAATGCAGAGTCTATGCATGAGTTTTGACCCATTAGTTTATGTAATGTTATTTATAAAATTATTTCAAAAATTTTAGTTTATCGCCTAAAGTATGTCCTCCCCTCAATTATATCTAATTCTCAAAGTGCATTTCTTCCTGGGCCGTTAATCACCGACAATGTGTTGGTTGCTTTTGAAATTAATCACTTTTTAAAGTGTAAGAATTGGGGTAAAATGAGACATGTTTCACTAAAATTGGATATGAGCAAAGCTTATGATAGGGTAGAGTGGGTGTTCTTGGAAAAAATGATGATTAAGTTGGGTTTTGATCGTAAATGGGTTACTCTGGTGATGCTTTGTGTTACAACTGTCTCGTATTCCATCTTGCTAAATAATAATCAAATGGGTTTTTTCCATCCTAAAAGGGGTCTTCGTCAAGAAGATTCTCTCTCACCTTATTTGTTTCTGATCTGTGCAGAAGGGTTAACAACACTGTTATGCAATGCAAAGTTGCATGGTGCGATTAAGGGAGTTTCGTTGGGAAAGGGTGGCCCACGTATTTCTCACCTTTTGTTTGCTGACGACAATTTATTATTCTTTAATGCATCTAAAGAAGAGGCTGAAGTTGTCAAGTCAATACTAGGGATTTATGAAGCTGCTTCGGGGCAAAAAATTAATTTGGAAAAGTTTGTAGTGGTCTTTAGCAGTAATTCTTCGGAGGTACAGGCCAGTCTAATTAAATATATTTTGTTTGTGAACGGGTTTACCAGCATGATAAATACCTAGGTCTTCCAACTGTGGTGGGTAAATCTAAAAAAGAAGTTTTTAGCAATTTAAAGGAAAGTGATTGGAATAAAATGCAAGGGTGGAGTGAACAACTCTTATCGAGAGCAGGGAAGGAGATCTTGATTAAAGCGGCGGTGCAATCCATTCCTACATACGCTATGAGATGTTTTAAACTTTCGGATAATTTTTGTGACGAGCTTGAGAGACTAGCGGCTAGATTTTGGTGGGGTCAAAGACAAGCGGAGAAGAAAATACATTGAGTTAGCTGGAGAAGGGTGTGTACAAGGAAAGAGAGGGGTGGTATGGGTTTTAGAGATTTGAAGGCCTTCAATTTGGCGATGCTTGCGAAATAGATATGGAGATTAAATACATAGGTTAACTCTCTTCTTCACCAAGTGCTTATGGCAAGGTATTTCTCTTTGACATCTTTCATGGAGGCTAAGATTTGGCATAGACCCTCATACACATGGAGAAGTATTTTATGAGCACGAAAAGTTGTGGAAGTGGGATCAAGATGGCGAATAGATGACGGGTCTAGAGTCAATATTTGGATGGATAGGTGGATACCTACCCTTGTAGGTTTCAAGCTTGTTTCTCCTAGAAGGGGGCTTTTTACTTCGGTTGGGGATCTTATTAATGAGCAATCGTGGAGCTAGAATGAGCAGTTGGTGGATGATATTTTTTTGCCCTATGAGGCGTTGGTGATTAAAGGTATTCCACTGAGCAGAAATTTATTGGATGATAGATTGATTTGACACTATAATTCAAATTGGAAGTTCTCAATACATAGTGCATATCACATCATTATTGACCAAAGACTATTGCAAGTAGGCTCAAGAAACTCATCTCCTTCTTCAAGTGCCGGACACCTAAATTGGAATTTTATTTGAAACCAGAAAATTTCAAATAAAATTAAAATCTTTGCCTGGCAGGTTTGTTCCAATGCACTTCCAACAAGGGATAATCTTCACAGAAGGAGAGTCACTGTGGATGGGAATTGTGGAGTGTGTCAAGAAGTTAGGGAGTCATTGGAACACTGTCTAAGGGACTGTTCTTGGGCCAAAGCAGTATGGAGAGCCAATTTAGTACAGGCAGTAGTCCAGTTTATGAATTTGGATCCTCGGCAGTGGTTGCTTGATGTCCATCAGGTTCTTACATCTGATGCATTTTCTTTGTTCCTCATTCTGTGTTGGTTCGTATGGAGGAATAGGAATCTTCGAATATTTGAAAAAAGAATCCTATTGAAGTGCAGAGGAAGGTTGTTGTTTATTACAGACAGTATAGGGAGGCATCAGACCAGGTCGGTAGTTTTCCTTTGCAAAACTCCAACGCTGGATGATGTCCCCCAAGGGCTGGTACATTCAAGATGTCTATTTAGAGCAAAATGTTTTTAGGTGTGGGAGTTGTTATACGAGATGATCGAGGTTATTTTGTAGGGGCCTTGACCAAAAGATTTATTATGAGTTGTGATATTCGTAAAACAGAAACTATTGCTACATAAATCGCGATCCAATTCTCAAGGCAGCAAGAATTAGTAGAAGTTATATTGGAAAGAGATTCTACAATGGTCATGCAATCTACTAGAAGTGGTGAAGGAGATTTTGCTCCTCTAAAAGACATCTTACAAGACATTAATAGTATAGCTAGAAGCTTTAGTTATTTTGAAGTGTCCGAAGTTTGATGTAATGGGATTAAAATAGCTCATGAGTTAGCTCGTTTTATAATACCAATAAATAGTAATATTGTATGGTTGGAGCAGGCACCCGAATTTGTTTTGCCTCTCTCTTTTTTTGATATTCCTCAGTAATAAATTTACATTGTTTTTTCTCCAAAAAAAAAAAGGGAAGTTAATTTTTTTACACAAATTAAGAGAAACTCAAACATTTATTCAAACCACTAATGGTTAGATTTCATTCTCTTTTAAAGATCTAATAATCATATTCTATCATACCGTTATTTAAATTTAGATTTATCTTTTTTTAAATTTGAATTTTTTTATTAAAGTGTTTTTTATAATCAAGTTTTTCACTCAAATATTATCCCAAATTTGAGTAAAATTTTGAGTCAATGTGAGATATGCGGTTATGGGAAAATTTTATTAAAGGATGAAAGTATAATTTCACATATTACTTTAAGTTTTGTGGCTATATTTTTATGTCAAACGATTCTTTTGAGTGCGAAACACACACTATCAAATTTGACATGATCTATTAGTTTTGCATCTTGTTTATAAATTCTGGGTGGTTTAATACAAAAATTTAAAGTTGAGGGTGGTCATTTGTTTCTATCCCTAAGTGCTGGGGATTTCTTGTAATTAACCCTTTTCATCCATTTCTAAATATACGTCGTTTAAGATTTTTGCACAGAGATTAATGAAACTATTAAATAGCTCTAATATGAGTAAAAAAATAATTGCACAAGACTAAAATATTCTTATTCAATACGTATTGGGAATGAAATGAATATGAAACACTTAAACTCCACCTAATCTAATGTATTGAAAAGTTAAGGGTAAATTTGGAAGAAAAAATATTAATTATGCTTTGGCTTCATTAAAGGACAGATATTATGAAACAAAAAAAATTATTAAAATAACAAATATTTAAGAACGGAAAAAGTAATAAATTGATTTTACACGTGCCACATTTTCGTCAGTTTAAAAATAAAACACACACTATGTACTATAGTTGAAAGTTGAAACCATCTTTCAATAAACCAGTCAGAGCTGAATGGGAGTCCATGGGCATAGATGCCGATGTTAGAGAGAGAGAGAGAGAGGAGTGGTCAGGCAGTTTAAAGGCATTTAATGTTCCATATGATGTCTCAGCTTCAGGAATTGATGACACAATGGGAGGCTCACAATACCACTCAACTCAAAACAAGCCTTGTCAGGACAATTGTTGAGAGATATGACGCTCCTCTTATTCACCTTTCGAAATCACCTCCTCTTTTCATTCATTTTCTTTATGTACTGTTCCTGAACCCACTCCCACACTGTGCTTCAAGACAATCGACATGAAACATCATAAGAAAAAAGAAATCTTTTTACCATGCACCATATCCCTATTCAGTCACAGCAAGCTTCTCTGAAACACCACTCCTGCATAGTGTATGTATACTAAAAAATCAGTATGGCATGGGTGGAAAAGGTTTCTGATGGCGTGTTCTGTGCGGCAGAACAAACGTGAACTATTTGAAGGCTTCGGGATCACTGGAATGTTTCGTCTAAACTTATGAACTCTTGGGGCTGTTTGGTATGTGGATTTGGGGGGATTTTGTAACATGGGTTGGGGACTAAACCCCCTTAAACCCATGTTTGATAACTTTGGATTAAACCTAGGGTTTGAAATCCGATCCGGTCATGGCCCGGTCATGAAATCCTTGTTCATGGGTTTTATGAAACTCATGGAGGGTGGGTTTCATACGTGGATTTGGGAATTTCACATTCAAATGACATTTATACTCCTCATATATTCATACCCATGTTTGGATTAAATTAGTTAAGTGACACAATATTTATTTAAATATAAATATATTATCATAATAGTCATATATTCTTGTGCATACCAAACATGGGTATGGACAGTATTGAATATTGAATCCCTTCTTTGAATCTCATTTTTGTCAAACCCGAGTTTGGACAAGTCAATTCAAACTTCTCCCAAAAAACATATCAAACAGGCTCTTGGGAATTGAGTTATCAACTCAGTTAAATGATAAAAACTGAACATACAAAATTTATAATAGTTAACCAACTCAAGAACTTGACTAATATATTATAACAGAATCTCTCGGTTTTTAGGAGTTTTCTATTAATTGAGGAAAAGGTAATTACATGGATGATTCCTTGTCTTTCATAATGATAGATTTGACCCTATTTATAGCCTTAAGGTGTCTTGTCTGATTGTCTTACGTGAACCCTTGCCATTTTTTGGTAACCGACGCTCTCTTTGCGCAATCAACGCGATAATGTTGAGACAGTTGTGTCTTGCTTACCAGAATATTGGGTCATTGCGATTTATACGCAACCTTCTAGTAGAGGTCAATTGTCACTGTCATCGAGCCCACGAGGATCTTGTTGTTAGAGGTCTCCGACCTGCACATCCCTTACTATTTGTCATGAGCAGCGTGGTCTGAGTCCAGACGCTGGAGCTCAACATTAGCCCATTTTTTGGTATCCTCGGTTTCAACTATGTTGATTTGCTCATTAAAATATAAGAACTTGCATGAAAGTAGTTGTGGTGCAACAAAAATCAGTCATAAGTAATGATAATTTAGAATTTTGAAGGATGGACTAAAAAAACAATAGTTTCACCTCAGANTTATCATCGGTTTCGACTATGTTGATTTGCTCACTAAAATATAAGAACTTGCATGAAAGTAGTTGTGGTGCAACAAAAATCAGTCATAAGTAATGATAATTTAGAATTTTGAAGGATGGACTAAAAAAACAATAGTTTCACCTCAGAAGGCAACTTACAGTTTCACCACAAACTTGTTTTTCACAGAAAGTCGACGTATATACAAGCTAGATTTACAAATTAATATTCGAGGACCCAAGTTGAATCAATCAATGCCAAAGAAGAAAGATTATATAAACAGCATCTTGATGATGTTCCAGCATGTTATACTTTTCATCAATCACCTCAAAATTATGAAATAAGAATCGCCAGAATGTCGAGTAATTCTCACTTGTCGCACAAAGTTTTGATTTTAACCAGGATAGGAGGAGGTAAAACTTGGAGTCGAGTCTAGTCGAGTGGAGCTCACCTCCAAAATGTGGATACCCTTCTATTCCTCTACAGAAACATGATGTCAGAGCATCAAATGTCATGAGCATATCACATCAATCATACCCAAAATGTTTAGGCTAGACGAAGACTTGTATATGATGAATCTAGCTAGGATTCACATTGCAAAGCATTATTGCTGTTACTTGTGGGGTTGCTTCTCAAACATAACTTTCCCTATATCATAGAGCTTTGAAAGATTACTCTTTCACTTTTATTCCAGCAGTAGTAATAAATACTACGCAGGTCTTTCAAATGTTCCATGGAATTTACTTTATATCAAATCTTGAAGTTTCCTAGATACATTTATCCCCGAGAGTAATTCTGCTCAAAGTAACACTTACCTTTGCAAATATACTAATCCTCTTATCTTCTTCCAATTGGTTTCAGATATGGAAGGATATCACACATCATAGACGAGAGCAGAATATAAAGAACAATATATATATATATATATAGACACACACACACACTAGCAGTAAGCAGAGGGAAGAAACCACACAACTGGATGAATCTGCCAACCACCAGTGGAAGCAAGCGGTTCCTAAGGTTGCATATATATATATATATATATTAGAAAGAAACATTGGTCTTCCTCTCAGTCTTTGTAGTATCAATCAAGTCCAATTCCCCCGCAAACATGAACGTCAAATTATGGTTTTATTAAAGAAAAGAATTCGTTGATCAGAGTTCTTAGCGAAGTTCCAGACTGAAAACTTTGAGAAATTAAGAAATCTATACATATATAAGTTAACTGTAATCTGTTGTATTTTAAACTTTCAGTAGAGAGCTTCAAGGAAGTGCAATGTGAAACCCTAACAACAGAAAGAGGGTGATGAAAATCATCAGGGTAATGATAATTCTTGAAAAGTCAATCACGGGAAAAAGGTATGAGGATCAGTAGGTAAGCGCAGAAACGGACAGAGCAGATTGTTGAAGCAATCATGAAAAAATCATCACCCTGATACAACTCAGAAGGAGTTAAAAAGACTGACAAGAAGAGAGAACACCACACAAATATAAACACAACCCTTACGATCTGGTATTTTAGTCTAAAAGCACAAGAGTAATGATGAAACCTTTTCCTTCTCCAGTGGCATGAAAAGAAGTCCAGATTCATCATCATTACACCCATCTGGGAATCCCTCATCATTACACCAATCTGTTCTGCCCAACTATATGAACTTAGCTGATAGCCACAAACCCCACAAATAAATACAGCCAAAAACACCACAAAATACATAATATTTAAACCCGATGAAGAAAATTAAACTACCTTCAATTGAGATCCACCGGAAAACCGTGACTTGGGTTGAATGGAAGCAAGGATTGGGGGGAATGAAGCCTGGTCCGACGACACTAAGGTATGATCCATTATTACTCAATAACAACGATCAATCAACTCTAAATGAGTTTATCATATTTCATATCAATTTATAGATCTACTTAGTGGCTTCGAGCCAGACAACATTCCCCTCAAAAGAGAACGCTTCCCCTTCTTCCTCCTCCGTCCTAATTCACACAGGGAGAGACTAGACACAGATGAGTGTGTGTGACAATGGTGAAGGGGATACGATTTGGGGTTTGCAAGAGGAGGGGATAGAGATCATAAATAAAGGATGGGGAAGGAAAGAGAGGCGGTAAAAAAGGACAAATAAAGTCATAAAAGCATGGCAACAGACGCCCAGACCCTACAACTATAATTGGGTTTGTTACAAAAAATATCATGACCCACTATTTTTTTTATTCTCAATTATTATCTAAAGTAGTGATTCATTTTTATATACTTCATCTTACTTTAATTAAAAATGTTAGTTCAACCTCATTTTATGATCTAATAATTCAGATGTGTAATATACTTTTATCTTTTAATTGATAGTAAATATAAGAATATTCCCGTCTACTCATGATAATGCATCATTTCTCCGACTTATTAGAAAAATATTATAGGAGAGGATTGGATCCTTGCTTTTTCTACTTTCATTTACCCTAACAGTAATAATATGCTAATATGTGTTATATTATTTGAGTTCTAAATTTGGTCTATAACATTATTATTATCCTAATAAAAAAATCTTTTTCATTAGGTACAAACTTTTTACCTTTATAAAAAAACCCAAAATTTCATGATTGCACGACATGTATAGTGAGCATCACTGCAATGATGATGCGTCAATAACATCATACTCATCCCCCACAATGTCAACGTCACGATCCGACTCGACTCGATTGGACCCTACCCTACATACCAAAAACCATTTGCACCGCTCAATTCCAAAAATTTGAAGCAGTATAGTATAGTATTCTGTATTCTATTCTATGAAGAAACAAACAATAAATGTGTTGCGTTAAAATGGGGGACCCTCTTTCTGTGCATAACATCATCTTCTACGCTCCCGGGGGATAACATCGAAGAAGCCAACCACAGACGGACAGAGATGAGGGCAAACATAGTAGGTCAGCGTTCATCTTAAAAGATTCAGGTGCTCTCAGAACCACTGACATTAACCTCGTGTTCCCATCTGATTCATATGTATTTCAAAATCTCGGTCAATTAAGTTGGAATGTTATTGGAATCAAATTTATTAAGTTTATTTGTACATTTAATTACTCTTTATTATTAAATTGACACTGAACTTCACCAAATTTATTGTAGTCATGGAATTTAACGTGGGACTTAGTAAATATGAAAACTTATTGTTAATCAAATGATTATAATGAAACCACATTATTACGTTAAATTTTTAAGTTTAATAACATCATTCATACATTCAGTCCTAATTGGATTTGGTTATTACCAAAAAAAATGTGTACCATCCTCCATACACATTGCGATTATTTTTACTTCATTTGTAAATGTTTATACCCACATAAAAAAATAATAAAATAATTACCACAATAATATTAAAAATATCTACAAATATAATAAAAATACCCATAACATGATAAATCACTCACAAAAGTAGGACTAATTTTTTTGTACCAAAGAAAAGTGATAAACATAATTACTTCAAATATGATAAAATTATTCACAAAAATAATAAATTTTTTAACCATAAAATAACCCATAAAAAATATAAAAACATCCTTCACAATAATAAATTTTGGATGTATAGAGCCAAATTTTTTTTTTAGTCAAGTCATAATGGTAGAGTGGGTGAATTAGAGGTGCTTAGTTTGACTACTTTCAAGTTCCGAGATCAATCAACTTTTGGGAAAGGAGTACATTTAGTGCGAGCCTTTATTGTGAGTATCAGCTTTTTATTTCTTAGGCGCTTACACCAATGTTAAACAAAAGGAGGTGGTCCTCCTATAATTGCCATGGTTGATTAGCATTAGTTGGGCGCTACACCCTTTTTATCCCCAGGATAACAAACATTTTCCTAAGCGTTGAAAACAAATACTTTATTTTATAGTGAATTTTATTATTGAATGAATGTTCCTTGTAGTTGTGCAATAGCTAATGGCTTCGTTGCAATTGCAGGGTCTAAGATAGTTTCATTTATAATTAATTAAATCATTAGATATGTTTGTTAGTTGAAAGTATTTTCGAAGTTAAAAGATATCACACGCGTCTATATATAAAAACGATGGTTGTGCATCAACAATTCAAAAGATAAAAAGAACATTAGAGAAGTTTAGAGTTAAAATATATGAATTTAGTCGCAAAAGTCAAGAAAATAGTCGGCGTATGGTAATAACTTGATTTGACTTGGATGAACTAAACTAAACTTGAGATGCGGAAAAAATGAACCCTCTTTACGTAAAATTTCAAGGCCATCTCTTTTTCTTTGCTATGCATAGCTTTCAATCCATGCCGACATGGTTCTGGAGTATGAAAAACATGGCCAAATTCAAATGTGGTTGGGGTAGTTCAGCCATGCGTTGGACAAACCTAGATAATCAAACAACATATATTCTATCATATAAGGTTCTTCGCTTTCCATACCAATGAAACAAAAGAAAAGCTATCTAAAGAAAGCCAGCTGGCTAGTCCTTTTTTCTATTCAATTTACCATAAGAACTTGTACAGTCTTTGATCCAAACCCACCACTTGTTTTAGCGTTTAACTTCCATCACTCACTTAATACATCATTACAGGGTTTTGCATACAGTGACCAGGGTGTATGATTGCAAAAGAATGAAATAGGAAGAGGGNGGTTTTGCATACAGTGACCAGGGTGTATGATTGCAAAAGAATGAAATAGGAAGAGGGCTGTTACGTGAACTTAAAAAATAAATTTAAAAATCAGATTTGATAATTACAATCATTGATTTCACTGTTGGTCCCAGTATTTATTGAGACTCATTACCTACTCAATAATTGAGATTATCAAGTCTAAATTTTAAGTCTATTTTTTAAATTCATTTTACATTACTCGGAAGAGGGATAGAGAGAAGCGGAGAGAGATGAGTTGGAGTGCAATTAAGTGTGATTGGAAAGCAAGTAATGAGTGGTCAAGAGGATGAAAGCACGAGTTTATCATTAATGCTATTAGAATATAATTCAAAGTCAATGTATTGTGATCATTGAAATTACANGTTTATCATTAATGCTATTAGAATATAATTCAAAGTCAATGTATTGTGATCATTGAAATTACAATAAAATACATTTAATGCTAAAACTCACTAATAATTTAAAGACCATAGTAATAATATACGTAATTATCGATCAATTACGCAATGACTTTTTGACATCTTGTTCCCATTTCAAGACAGTTGACCTACCCCCATAAACATTAAAGTCTGCCTTGATTTTTGCTAATCCTTGGCACTAGTCCGTTGTCGGCTGCCCTTTTTCGTTTAGCTTTCATTCATCTTTTGCATGTAACGTAGTGGCATGGCTAACCATTTTCTTGTTACGATGCTCCATTCTCCATGCTTTAATGGATCGAAACAATTCAGCGGTCCATCTGGTATTGTATTCGCAACCTTTTACCATTCATATAAAAACACGAATATTAAATGAATTTAATCATAGTTTAACCATTTTGAAAACATTTTGTGCTCACTTGGGCATATAACGTTAAAAAAAGGTGCAAGGAGTAGTTGAAAAGTGGCAAAGATGAACACCCTTTATGCTCAAGCTTTTTTATAACCAAAGTAAAGGTTGTTACTTGTTTGATTTTTGAGGAAAGAAGATTCTCTGTATATAAAAAACAAGCACAATCCTTCATTGAGTGTTATTGCTGCTATCAACTATTTAACACAAACCTAAGGAACACGACACCTTGTGTTTCGTTTCCATTTAGTATTAAATGAGACAACCTGATCAATAGGTGTTGGGAACTATGTACTGTTGATCTAAAGAATTAAATTTGAATAACTACTACTTCAGTATTAAGCTCAAATTCTGTGTAAACCAATTGAAGAAAAACATTGTATAGCTCAAGCACAAAGTTTATTTTCATATTGAAGGAGTAATTTGTTACAATTGTAAAACCACATCAGCACTGTTGGAACATAGCTCTGATACCACTTATTGATTTTGCATAGAGGATAATTAACACAAAAAACATTTGTTGGAAGATAGAAATTCAAAGATAGGAAAATAATAAAAATATAACACAAAAATATAACGTGGTTCGATATAGCATACCTACCTTGGTATACCGTACCTACACCCACGGACCAAGAATCTACATCGTTGTATTATTCACTGAAATCTGGTGATCTGATAATTGATTACATAATACTCAACCCTATTTATAAGGCTAAAATATTGTAATGCAAACTTATTCAGATACGATCTTTATGTTTCCTAGCACATGTCTAACATACTTATTCATGTTATATTAAAACTCTTCCGATATAATCATATTCCATATAAGATTCTCACCCAACAAACTCTCCTTCATAACAATTAGAGAGTTTGAGTTAAATTACAACAAGCACCGATAAATGGTATCACAATCCAACAATTAATCATCGCATAAAACTGACAGAAGAAAACTACCTTAGCTAACAGAATCTAATAACTATTGAAATCACGANACCGATAAATGGTATCACAATCCAACAATTAATCATCGCATAAAACTGACAGAAGAAAACTACCTTAGCTAACAGAATCTAATAACTATTGAAATCACGGTCATAGGACGGAGCTGGAATAACCCGACTAATTTTGTATCGATGGAGTCCAAAAAAAGTACGCATGTATGAAAACATAATCTTCAAGCAAAACTTTTCTACGTAATGTGTTAAAAATTGTGCAATCCCCATGGTTGTCAACTTTTTAGAATCATGTTCATATTGAATCCCANTGAAATCACGATCAGGACGGAGCTGGAATAACCCGACTTATTTTGTATCGATGGAGTCCAAAAAAAGTACGCATGTATGAAAACATAATCTTCAAGCAAAACTTTTCTACGTAATGTGTTAAAAATTGTGCAATCCCCATGGTTGTCAACTTTTTAGAATCATGTTCATATTGAATCCCCATGGAAACTCTCGGCTACCTCTATAACTTATGTTACATGACTCCAACTCGGGCCCAGCNTTACGAAGTTCTACATTGATTATCAATTATCTAACACAACTCTTTTTCTTTATCCGGGCTTGAAACAAACTGTGTAAAAGATAAAAACTCAACACAAGTTTACTTTATTTCACTTTGCTTATTTTGATAAAACGTTAAGGAAGACAAAAGTAGGCGGCCATTTTGACCAAAACAGCAGGATTAAGCTTCTTGGATACCTTGGCCTTGGGACAGCAAGCATATCGTGGCTTAATTAGTCTGGACGCATTTATTCATTTGGCCAATTTTCTAATGACTTGATACAAGTGTCGGACAAGCGTCAAAATGGTTTTTTTCCAGATGACTTGACATTCCTAAAACAACAACTTACTTTATTATTATTTTTATTTTATCAAAGACTATAATCTATGAATCAAATGCAACCGATGACAATGCTCGTACCCACCTGTTTGAGTAGCTAAATAGGCAGCAACAATTTAGATTAGGCCTTGAGAATGGCCAGCCACTACAAATGTTCCAATCCATGACCTGGCCTCAATCAAGCTGGAAACTCTCGGCTACCTCTATAACTTATGTTACATGACTCCAACTCGGGCCCAGCCAAAAAAAAAAAGACGAATTTGATGATCATTTCCAAGAGCAGAGTTGCCACCAAGAGGTATAGAACTGGTTTATCCTTGTCAAAATCAACTGAAGGTTAACTTAATAATGAGATTTTTTTTTTTTTAAATCAAAGGACAATTACAACACTTCTACTTGAAAGCAAAAGTGGCATAGTGTCCATATAACCCCCACACACACCCTAAGGCTGTCCGACGTGGGATAGCCCCTAATAATGAGATTGATATACATGTCTTTTTGAGAGCATATACTTCTTTTTGAGATTGATATACCCACTTAATTAATAATGGTCTTTGTGCCTCGATCACACGCCTTCTTGTAATTCGCCACGACACAAGCAGAGAATTTTAGCAACTAGGACTCTACTTTATGGTGCGTGGACGTTCGGTTGATCCCGCAGCGATTGCAAGAACCAGAAAAGAAGATTCGGCAATGATCAAATCAGGACACTGGAGTTTATGTTTGATACAGATTTGAGGCCTGGACTCTGGACAAGAAGACAAACAGCCGGCTAACAAGCTAGTGCCTTCAGCCTCCGCCAGGTTGCAAAATAGAAGAGCTAGATCAAATTTAAAGCCGATTGAACAAGACTACATCATGCTGAAAATCAGCATGATACTCTCTGGCTTCCAGATTCAAGTCCTTTGAATAAAGAGAAACAATCATATGTTATCCTGATGCTGTCCTATTTGTTCATAAATATTACTAATTCATGATTGGAGTCTTACAAATAATTGTGTTCCCAGTTGCAGAGACGGATTTGATGGAAAGGCCTCGCGAAGCAAAAATCCAGAATATGATCACCAGGAGGCTATGTTGGAAACAAAAGTGAAGCCCAATCTTCCACTGAACACTTTTGAACATGAACCTGGTGTGCCTTCATCCAATGATGTTGATGAAATTGTTAAGTACCTTGAGGATCCAAATTGCTTTCTTAACGNCACCAGGAGGCTATGTTGGAAACAAAAGTGAAGCCCAATCTTCCACTGAACACTTTTGAACATGAACCTGGTGTGCCTTCACCCAATGATGTTGATGAAATTGTTAAGTACCTTGAGGATCCAAATTGCTTTCTTAACGTCAACGCAGGTGGTTCAGGGATACAATTTGGAGTCTACTAGTCTTTTTTTGATATTTCGGGTTGTAGCTCAGAGAGGTGGGAATTATAGTCTTGACCATCGCTCAGAAAGTAAAGTGTCTTATGATCATACTATGTTAGGGTAGAAGAGGGTGGAAACAGGGTAGCACTCTAGCCATGGGAGTGAAAGAGTCTCATCCCCTTAATAGTCTCTCCAGATTAGCTTTTAAAGAATTTTGCCACCAGAAAATTGTTTAATATGTGCCTATCAAAACCCACAAAATCATAACTACTAAATTCTGCATCAATTGCATTCTCCATTCACCATCCAGTTTCTTTACGTCTATCTGATATGACATGATAAACAACAAATAAATTGAAGAGCTCAATCAAGCCAGGACTCAAGAAAANCACACTGCCTATCAAAACCCACAAAATCATAACTACTAAATTCTGCATCAATTGCATTCTCCATTCACCATCCAGTTTCTTTACGTCTATCTGATATGACATGATAAACAACAAATAAATTGAAGAGCTCAATCAAGCCAGGACTCAAGAAAAATCTAGGAAGGAGCTGAGAGATGAAATGATGCAACAGAGTCCTTTTTCAAACAGCGTGGCTGCCTTTCTAATCAATTAAGACCAAGGTGGGATAGGAGTCTTAATTTGAGGTGAAATAAAGCATCCAAGAAACATAGAAGTGAAGTAGGGCAGAAAGAGTGAAATGATAGAGAGAGAAAAGAATCGAGGTATCTCACCCAAACTGATCAAACAGAATCACTCTTGTTGAAATCCCTAAAAACCAAACCAAATAACACCACAAGATGTATGGTATCACACCAAAAATTAGACTCCAAAATTGCTCTTAACTACGGAGTTAATGTTCATATTGACAGGATAGCAAAATGGACAATACTAAGGAACTTATGATTCCCACAGTGCTTCACGGTGATGAAACCAATTTGCTGACTAACAAGTGACAAGCTAACTAGCCATGCCTAAGGCCAATATTGCAAAGCAAAGTAACCTTCCTTTCTAGATATCGAAAGCAAAAATATAAAAATATCCTCCAACACTATCACTTTTACAAAATATAAAAACACGCAAACCTAAGAAGGATAAATACACATACAAGAATACAAAAAAATTCCAAAAAACATAGAACACTGGTATGACAAAGATACGGCTAATTAAAATAGTTTTATATATCTAATAACAATATTAATAATAACCAATAAAACCTAGCAAACAATATTTTTTTGATTATAATAGACGTAGATCAAAGATTCAAAATAAACATCCACCATTTTCATAAATCACATGGTTCTAAACATAAGTAGAAAACCCAATGCTTAAAATCAAGTATTTAATCTTATTTCAAAGCATGCAAACCAAAACCCTAGCTCGAGGAAAGCCAAAAGCAAACCTGAGTTTTCCTCCTCCTTTTTTCGTTTATGAACCAGCAGTCAGTTGATTGACTACTTGGCCTCTTCGTTCACCACTCTCAGTCAATCGAATGATAGAATGAGAAGACTCAGAAGAGAGAACCTCGTAGGTTTTGTTCTGTCCAAAAGAAACGACATCACCCCTTTCAAGTCTCTTTTTTATTTTTTTTTTCATTTCAACCCCGTAAAATTTTTTAAAATAACAAAAAAAAAAACCCGCCGCATCCTGTACATGTCCCTCCTGTATTCAACCCGTATTTGACTAAATTTTTTCTCTATTTAGGACACTTTTAGAAGTGTTAGACACACGCCCAGCCGTGTCCCACAAGTATCCATTCTTCCTAGAACCAAATTATCACCATTACAAGGTTTGTGATTGTGATAGTTTTTTAAAGGTGGTTTCTTTCATTTTCATGATTGGCAATAGACTTCCTCCATGTAAAGAAGATCTGGATGCATAACATCCCCTCAAAGCATGAAAAAAATGTTCCCAGTACATTTTCCCAATTGATAAGCCTCTCTTATCCAAAAGGCATGGGCAGTTGTGGCTCCACCCCACCATCATCCAAATAAAGTGAATATTGATCTTCTAAATGAGTTGTTCAGCACTTGAACGGAGTACGCTGATACTGAAGTTCTATGACATCTTCCATGGGATAATTAATAGCAATCTAACATACTTAAATTTTGGTCAAAGTTCATCTTTATCACTCTCATCATACAGTAATCAACCATAGACTTAACCAGAACCTTAAACCTCCTAGTATTAACTTTGTCATTCCCCCTCGACAAAAATAATAATTAATTTGTTATTTTTTGCTTTAGTTCTGCCAATTGATTATTCCATTACAGCATTCAAAAGGGAAGACAACATCAAGTTGTTATGCTAACATTCAAGTAACAAGGCTTTTATATAAGATCAGATCAATGATTTCATGTCACCTTGCATGGCATGTGTGTATATATTGTCAACAACCTTTAAGATTACAGACATAATAAAAGAAATGAACTACATTAACCTGATTCATGCATAAAACACTCTCATATCTCGGTCTTGACCTTCATATCTCCATTTGGTAATATGCTTTGTGATTGTGCGAGCCGTTTCGATTCCTACATTAGACTATAAGAATTAGCGCATACGATTAAAAAGCATAGACCAGCAACACAGAACAGGCAACAAAAGCCTCTTTCACAATTACCAAAAGACACCAAGACACATATCCATGCACCACCTAGATTTATCTATATTTATACTACTTTTAAATGTCAATAGAAATGCAAAATTTTTTATTACCAAAATTTCCCATAAAATACAAAAAGACAATTGCATCATTTCTAACATTTTTTTACTGGCCTATAAACAATAAGAGCTAGGGCTAGGGTTTACCACCCACTTGAATATGCTGGTTTTAAAATGCAATAACCCAAAGGATAGTGGTTTTAAAGTCATTCTCGGGAGTTACAACTAATCTCTTGGAAGTCTGTAATTAAGTTAAAGTATGATAAGTAAAACAGGAACAAAGGTTCTATATGTGGTGGTAGGCCTGTCAAACTTCGACACAACACGATTAACCGATACGAATCGACACGAATTAAGTTGATTTGGGTGAGACCTTAATGGGTTTGGGTGATAAATGGGTTAACCCACCAAACACGTTTAATAAACAGATCGTGTTCGAGTGAGACCTGTCAACTCGTTTATCACCCATTTACCCGTTTAAATAAAATTAATATAATAATAAATTAATAATTATTTTAAAAAAATAGCCATAATTTTTTTATTTTTAGTGACAACCACAAAAAATATATAAGCCATCTAAAATTGTTAGATTGTTAGTTTTATAAAGTTTATATATATAAAAGTTATTAAAAAAATATAACTTAAAAAATAAATTTTATACACAAATACATGATAAAATATTTAAATTTATTTCACTATTAATTCATTTTGAATACAACTCTTGCGAAGGCAGCAACACAGAGCCCTTTGGAATGCATTTTTTTGCCTTTACACTGTATCCCACATTGAATAGACATGAAATGCTGGTAGCATCTCATGTCTATAAATGGTTATAGTTTCCTATGCTCAAGCAATTCACGTGAGACTGTCTTAGCTCAGAAATCAAGATAATCACTTTTAGTGTTTTTTTGGTCAGCACTGTATAAAATTTTGGGCTTTTATCTTGGGCCAATGTTTAAATTTTGAGTTAAACAAGTTGTGTCATGTTACTCATTTATTTAACAGTTCGTGTTCATGTTAAAGTTTTTTACCCGTTTATTTAACGTGTCATATATGGGTTTATATGTTTTTAACCTGTTACCCGTTTAACCCGATATGTAACTGTTTAACCTGACACGATTGACACCCCTATGTGGCAGAATATGGTAATGGGATATTAAGCACTTGTATAAATGTCTAAAGAAGTTCTAAATAATAATTGAATTAAGTAATCTCCAATATTTCAGGATATATAGTTTTTCAGGCCGTGGAAAAGAGAAACTTTAGCCCAATACCTCGAGCTATGTTTACCAATCATAAACCAATTCCAATCCCGTGAGTTTGATTAGTCATACATAGCATACCATTTATGTCCTCCAATTTCATAAGCTTTTTAGCCTTACTTCTGCGATACACATTGAACTCATCCAGTTATACTTTGGTTTTTGAAAACTTCTCAAAAACAATTTTATCTTACTATGATTCATGATAATAGAACTGGGCAATGGATGATGTATAGAAAACAAACTCGATGACTCAACCCAAAACAAGACACTAAACATAGTTATATAGTTATTAAGCCGATGGTAACACCCAGCAATAGTAGTTCAAACTAATAAAATAATGAATGGATAAACTTATTGGAATATTTATCCTGGATGAATAATTGCGACATATGTATTAGTCAAATGCAACTCACAGCTGCAGATGTGGCACGTATTTCCCTGTAAGCTTCCACTTCATCAGGAAATGCCTGTTCAAGTTCCTCTAGAAGATGCCTTCGTAAACTCTGTACAGAAGATAGGCATGAAAATTATCATAACAGCTTAAGAAATTCACATAATTTCTCATTCCATAACAAATTTCATCTTTGCAGCACAAATAACAGTACTGGTACACAAAATACTTTGGTGTCAAACTTATAAACCAATATATAACTCTCAAAGGGAATAACCTAGCAGACACAGGGATAAGAAACCTAGGAGAGAGCTATAGCCATTACCTGGATTCAATTCTGCATACTGAAGCACGATCAACGAAGTAGAGGGATTTTTGTGTGTAAACAAATTGGAAAAGATTCTACCAGACAGCTTTGAAGCCCGTATTACGAAATAAGACCACAGTACTTGCACAATTAAGCTAAAGGTACACTAAACAGTTGAACAAAACTGTGCTCGATTTGAATTAGAAAATAATTCACACTTCAGACAAATTTAGGATAAGGATTAAGTGCAGGATGGACATGCACATGTGGGTGTGTATGGCAGTATGGGTGTTATTGATACACTGTAAAACAGAGTATAGTAAACCACGTTGTCATCTAGAAAAACGCAGGTTCTGAAGATATTGTAAATTAAATTGGGTGTACAAAAGCAAACCTTGAATGCGTCAGTTTTGCCTTTGGTAATCTGATTCTTGGCAATGCAACTATTCAAGACATCCCTCGTGAATTCATCCGGATTCTTTCCATCATCAATCAAACTAAAGATTTATATAATACATCCATTATCAGAAATCAAAACCAAAAAGTCAATACATAAAAGAAGCAATAAATTTCATCACTTTAGTTTGGGGAAAAAGGGGACATACTTGAGGACCTCCATAGGGACCTGAATATTGCAGTTCTCAGCCAATTTCGTCATGTTGTCGAGCTCTAAAACAAGCGTATTCCTGCACAAACCCAATTCGGTCGGAAAACCTAAACACATGTAATTGCAAGAACTATTTAGGGTTTCAAGAACAATTTAGGGTTTCAAGTAGAGAGAGAGAGAGAGTAGGTACAGGCGTTGGAGGAGGGGGAGTTGAGAGGCGACATTGAAGGAAGAGACGGTGAGGTAGAGCTGGTGGATGACGCCCAGCGTTTTCTGTATCGAATCAGTGACTTGGCTAAGGTTTTGCTTCGGGTCATCCGTAGCTGTTGTTGCCGTTGAATCCATGGGTGATGCGTCGTTGGATTGAGGGATTATGATGCCGTTGCCACCCCCACTCCCACCAGTAGAAGCAGCCGCTGCTATTGCGCTTTGCGATGATGCCATCGTTCTTGAGGGAGCGTGTGTTCCAATGGAGTTCCGATTGGGTAGTTTGGTATTCTATCTCCTAATATTTGGAACGGTGCGCGCCCGTCTTATAGAAAAAGCAATCCCCTGAAATAGAAGATTAGTAACACGACGTCGTTTAATTCCACTCACTTTTCTGTTTATTTTGTTTCTGTTTCGAAATAGGAGATTAGTTACACGACGTCGTTTAATTCCACTCACTTTTCTTCTCTTTTCTTTTGTTTTTTTCTCCCTATGGAGATGAGAGAATAACCGTATACAATGTTTTTCGGTTGAAAAATAAACAGAGCAATCCTATTAGAACCTAAAAAAATTAATCTACTTGTGGTAATTTAATGATGTGTTAATAACGTGGTACAATAGTGTTGATGTGACTCTAACTTTTAGATTTGTTTATTGTGATTCCATCACTTAAACGATACATCATTAAATTAGATTAAACTTTTAGATCTCAATAACACCATTTAAATAATAAACTTAGTATTTGGTGGGACTCCAGTGCGGCTCTTCAGCCCCTGGGTTGACACGTGGAACAATGAAGCTGTCAGGATGACCAAAAGATGTCGAGGAGGTAAGCCGAGGTATGGTGACATGGAGCGGCCGAGTACAACAGCTGACGTGGTATTTAATGCGATGTGACCTCATATTTATGGTGGAATGAGTGATAGTGACAGGGCAAATAAATGTGCGCTTACAGGTGACTGCCCTTTGGGAGTCTAAGCCTACTGTCATAATGGCTAAACATTAATGACTAATGCCCCAAGACGACGCACCAGATCTCCCGAGGAACTGTTCCGTCGAGAAGTCAATGCTTGGTCGGTGTCAGACACCGACCTGATGGATTTGGTTGTTCAGGGAGTAGCATAAGTGCTCGGTGGATGGTCGAGCTGTTATCCCATTTTTCTAGCATTCAATAGAAAGAGACGTGAATAGGAAACATTCACAACACGAGAAATGGTGTGTCAGATATGAAGATGTCCAGATGGGACTGAAGATCTTTAATAATCATTGTTAATTCAGGTATAAATATCCCTCAGAAAAATGGATAAAGGTACGCAAACTCAAACCAAAAAAAGTCCATTGAGCAAAATTCTTCGATATTTTATTGACTTAAGCTTCGGAGGGGATTATCCGGGCACACGTCTGGCCCCCTTTTTCTGACCCTGTTGTTCCAAGTTCGCCAATTGGGAAATCGCCGCCTCACACGATTGCAGGAATCTTCCCTTGCAATTTGGTGTCGTCTGTGGGAACGAAAGCATTTCTTCCGGTAGCGATCCTCTGATGGTGAACACTAGATCTCAGGGTGAGAGAGCAGGTGTACGGGCTAGGAACGCAGAGCTCGTCTAGCTTTCAATGGTTCTGGAGCCGGACTCATTAGGCCAATTAGATGGGGTGGGGCATTCTTCACAAAGGACACTCCCTATGGATCAGGGCCTTGGGGGACGTGACCTCATGGCCCATGACATTGTGGAGATGGTGGAAAAGCGGATGAGCAAGCGTATTAAGCAGCTCGAAAGGGACAACGCCAAAGTTCAGCAATGTCTTGACGATTTTGAGCAATCAGCAACCGCGGGCGAGCATAATCACGGGGTCGGGGACCAAGTGCCCAGCCAGAACCTGTCCAGNATTGACACGTGGAACAATGAAGCTGTCAGGATGACCAAAAGATGTCGAGGAGGTAAGCCGAGGTATGGTGACAGGGAGCGGCCGAGTACAACAGCTGACGTGGTATTTAATGCGATGTGACCTCATATTTATGGTGGAATGAGTGATAGTGACAGGGCAAATAAATGTGCGCTTACAGGTGACTGCCCTTTGGGAGTCTAAGCCTACTGTCATAATGGCTAAACATTAATGACTAATGCCCCAAGACGACGCACCAGATCTCCCGAGGAACTGTTCCGTCGAGAAGTCAATGCTTGGTCGGTGTCAGACACCGACCTGATGGATTTGGTTGTTCAGGGAGTAGCATAAGTGCTCGGTGGATGGTCGAGCTGTTATCCCATTTTTCTAGCATTCAATAGAAAGAGACATGAATAGGAAACATTCACAACACGAGAAATGGTGTATCAGATATGAAGATGTCCAGATGGGACTGAAGATCTTTAATAATCATTGTTAATTCAGGTATAAATATCCCTCAGAAAAATGGATAAAGGTACGCAAACTCAAACCAAAAAAAGTCCATTGAGCAAAATTCTTCGATATTTTATTGACTTAAGCTTCGGAGGGGATTATCCGGGCACACGTCTGGCCCCCTTTTTCTGACCCTGTTGTTCCAAGTTCGCCAATTGGGAAATCGCCGCCTCACACGATTGCAGGAATCTTCCCTTGCAATTTGGTGTCGTCTGTGGGAACGAAAGCATTTCTTCCGGTAGCGATCCTCTGATGGTGAACACTAGATCTCAGGGTGAGGGAGCAGGTGTACGGGCTAGGAACGCAGAGCTCGTCTAGCTTCCAATGGTTCTGGAGCCGGACTCATTAGGCCAATTAGATGGGGTGGGGCATTCTTTACAAAGGACACTCCCTATGGATCAGGGCCTTGGGGGACGTGACCTCATGGCCCATGACATTGTGGAGATGGTGGAAAAGCGGATGAGCAAGCGTATTAAGCAGCTCGAAAGGGACAACGCCAAAGTTCAGCAATGTCTTGACGATTTTGAGCAATCAGCAACCGCGGGCGAGCATAATCACGGGGTCGGGGACCAAGTGCCCAGCCAGAACCTGTCCAGACCCGCCTGGCGATGGCCCCCCAGGAATGATTGGATAAGGCACTCGCCCGATGGACGTGACCGCCGAGAGTGTTGTCGACCTCCAAGGAAAAGTCAGAATCGGGCCAGAAGGCAAGCCTGTCCAAGTGGGACCAATGCTGAGGGATACCCGAGAGCGTCGGAGCCGCCGAATCTCAAGCGAAGTCCATGCCCCGAAGGCCTCGAGAGGAAAGAGACACCAAGGGTCCACGGGTTCCCTTTATCGGTCAGCGTAACCATGAACCCGCAGTCTACTCCGACGAAGTTATCTCGTCATTCATCCGGGCTATCAGGGAGGCCGAGATGTCGAAAAAGTTTACCGTCCCACAGTTCAAAGTCTATGATGGGAAAATCGATCCCGAGAGCCATCTTTGGCAGTATAGGCAATTGATGTCAATCTACGATACTGATCAAAGGGTGTTGTGCCGAGTTTTTTCCATGAGCTTAGGAGACACCAGTATGAGCTGGTATGAGAGTCTTGCTCCCGAGAGTGTTGGGTCCTGGAGACAACTGACAGAACTCTTCTTGGCTCGATTCATCACCAGTAGTAAAAAATCAAAGGACATCGATGCTCTGTTGACGCTCAGGCGAAAAGGGGGAGAGACACTCCGACAATATACCATCTAANCCCATGAGCTTAGGAGACACCAGTATGAGCTGGTATGAGAGTCTTGCTCCCGAGAGTGTTGGGTCCTGGAGACAACTGACAGAGCTCTTCTTGGCTCGATTCATCACCAGTAGTAAAAAATCAAAGGACATCGACGCTCTGTTGACGCTCAGGCGAAAAGGGGGAGAGACACTCCGACAATATACCATCTAATATTGGGATGAGGTGAATGAGGTGGAGGCATTAGCTGCGGCGTCATTTAGGCTGGGGCTGTCCCGAGACACTGACTTATACAAATCGTTGACCAAAAAGGCATCGACGGACATGAAAGACTTGATGGTTCGGACTAACAAATATGTCCGGGTGGAAGAAGAGTCTGTCGCGCCCGAAAGCAGGGCCACGGTTCTGAGAAAAAAGGGATAGGGAGTAGCCGTCCCAAAGGGGAGGGCCTATTTCAACCCCAACTCACTTATCCTTCCAAGGAGTGAACACGATATTTAACGAGCTCATTCACAGGATACTCCCCAAGATAAAAAATAGACCCTATTTCAGGTGGCCCCCGAGGATGTTTGGAGACCCGTCGACAAGGAATGCGGCCTTCCGATGTTTGTATCATAGAGATGTCGGTCATTGGACGGAGGATTGTAAGACTTATAAATCCTTCCTCGAAAAATTGGTGAGAGACGGACACCTCAGGGAATTCATCGACAGGGCCCATCCCGGTGGGTCAACGAGGGAGCGAGCCGAGGTGCCAACTGAGGTAGCACCCGTGATTGACGTTATCCATGCCTGCACAGTGAAAAGGCTAACATACAACTCCCTCCGCGCCGAGTTACAAAAGGTTGCTCAAGCAGTCAGGGTGGATGAAAGGAGGGATGAGCGATCGCCCAAAAGACCACGAAACGGTGTCGAGTTTATCCAATTTGCAGATGTCGATCTCGACAGTGTTGTCGTTCCCCACAAGGATGCATTGGTGATCACGTTGCGGATCGGGAAGTTCAACGTTAAGAGGATATTGGTGGACTCAGGCAGCTCCTCCGAGATAATGTACGATCACCTCTTTCGCAAGATGGGACTCTCTCAGAAGGATCTGGAACCCGTAAAAACCCCCCTCATCAGCTTCAACGGTTCCAGCGCCTTGCCCCTTAAAAAAATCATTCTCATGGTACGGCGCGGGGGTGGTGACCACGCCAGTGGAATTTGTAGTGGTAGACTCCGATTCCCCTTACAATGCTATTATGGGGAGATCGTAGTTGCATACAATAAAGTCGGTCCACTCATCCTACCACCAGAAGGTAAAGTTCCCAACGCCGCAAGGCGTAATGGAGATCAGAGGTGATTAGGCCTCAGCGAAAAGCTGCTTCTATGCCGCGGTGAAAACGAGAATCAGTGTCCGGTGTCAGGAGTATGATCCCGACGCGGTGGTTGTCAAATAGCAATCACAGAATGATCGTCCGGGAGTGGACGAGCCCATCACGGAGCCGGCAGACCGGTCTACTGAGGCCTTGGTGAAGATTCTCCTAAGCCCGGATAACGACGAGAAATACTTCTTGATAGGAGAATCGCTCAGCAGCACAAAAAGAAATGATATGGCTTCATTTTTATGCCACAAATGCCGATGT